ATCGCCAGCCATCCCTCCACTGGGCAGCACTGTATAACCCAGCACCTTGGCAGAGGGTGCCAGCTCAGCCCCAACAGGCAGCTCAATGGAGAAGGAGCCCTTCAGCTCTGGGCCAATGGAGACACATGGGAGAAGTGAGGCCCTGGCACAGACTGCAGAGCTCCCTCCTGCAAATAAATTATTAATCCCACAACCCCCACCCCACCCCTTGGCTGCAGGGGCCTTGCTGCACGCACCCATCCCTCAGCACTTACCAGCCCCCTCTCCAAAGTCTAGTCCTTTCCACAGGCTCCTTATGATGGCTCCCTTGGCCACAACCTGTGGAGGAGATAGGAGTCACTCCTCCTACATGGAAGGCCTGACAAATGGCATGATGTGGGGAGGGCCAGATCCAGGGCAGGATGCAGTTTCTGTATCCAGTGGGCAAGGCACAGATGATGGGGGAGGACATTTGGGCACCAGCAGGCTGGGGTGGGAGTGAAACAGGTGTCCCATTGCAGGAGAAGGCCCTGAATCACATTGTTGCCACCCCAACCATTCCCAGTGTTTGGTCAAGCCTGCAGGAGTGTAGCTAAGGCAAAGGGGCCCATACCAGTTTCTGAGTGAGTGCAAGTGAACCTTTGTACATGGCAACTTCAGATAGTTTTATAGTTTCATAGTCTTAGGGTCGGAAGGGACCTAAATAGATCATCAGGCCTGACCCCCTGCCCTGGGCAGGAACGAGTGCCGGGGTCATATCACCCCAGCCAAATATCTGTCCAGCCTCCTGTTGAAGACCCCCAAGGTAGGACAGAGTACCACCTCCCTTGGGAGCCCATTCCAGAGCTTGGCAGCCCTAACTGTAAAGTAATGTCTCCTGATCCAGTCTGAACCTTCTCGCTAAGAATTTATAGCCGTTATTCCTAGTAACCCATGGTGGTGCATGGTGTAACAGAGCCTCACTCAATTCCCGCTGGTCGCCCCTGGTGAGTTTGTAAACGGCCACCAGATCCCTTCTCTTGTGGAGGCTGAGTAGATTCAGACCCTTTAGCCTCTCTTCATACGGCCTGACCCGCTGCCCCCTGACCATGCAAGTGGCCCTCCTCTGGACCCTCTCAATGATAGCCACATCCCTCTTGAAGTGCAGTGCCCAGAACTGGACTCAGTACTCCAACTGCAGCCAGAGCAAAGCCTCATACAGGGGAAGGATCATCTCCCTGAGCCTGCTTGTGACACATTTGTAAATGCACGACAAGGTGCGGTTAGCCTTACTGACCTCGCATTGGCAGCTCTGTTCATCCTGGAGTCAACAATGACTCCAAGATCCCTGTCTGCCACTGTGTTGACAAGAAGGGGCTTGTCAAATGAATAGCAGAATCTGCAATTTAGGTTAAGCAAAAGATTTTGCAGGGAACAGACCACAGGAAGACCCTGCAATAAGTAACCCAAGGATTCCAACCTGTAGTTTTAGCATGAGGATGTTGGCATATGCACAGACTGATGTAGCCAAGTGCAGCCAAGAACACTGCCATTATGCTTCTTAGTAAGCCTATCAAATTTCCAAGCACTGAGGGCATCAGGCTCCAGGTCTCACTGGCTGATGAACAGGGGCTTGGGAATCCGTGCTGCAGTAAGGAAAAGCATGAGACAAGCCCAGGATGGGGCTCACCAGGAAGTAGAAATCCAGGCTCTTGGTCTCAGCCCCCAGGGCCTTCCTGGCAATGATGTACTCCACTTGAAGCTGTTGGGTCTGATCACAGGGAAGCACCTCTCCCTGTGCGTGGATCTTCAGGAAACTCTTGCTCTCTGAGTAGAAGGGCTCCAGGGAATGGTAGGCATCTCTGTATTGGGGAGAGACTCTTCCATGCACATAACTGTGATCCACCTCTTTGAACTGACCCTGGGGGAATATGGAGACAATTGAGGATCTCAGGAATCAGGTAAGCGTGTGGCATATGCAACGAGTGCCATAGGCTTGGAGGATGCAAGCTGAGCTCACCGCACATAACTGTGATCCACCTCTTTGAACTGACCCTGGGGGAATATGGAGACAATTGAGGATCTCAGGAATCAGGTAAGCGTGTGGCATATGCAACGAGTGCCATAGGCTTGGAGGATGCAAGCTGAGCTCACCCTTAATCCCTCGACCCTGTGTCCATAAGAGGGACAGGGCCAGTCCCAGCAGCTAGAATGGGGCAGCTGCCCCTCAGCAGCTGGGTGCCCGTGACCCAGAGGATCTATCATACTGCCTCAGAGCAGGTAGGCACTCAGCTCATGCTCTTGTCTCCAGCTGTAGCTGGTTGATGACAGAGGATGGGGCAGCCCCTGCCTGCCTTCAGTCA